GTTATGTTTGCAAGAGATAGCTAATTAAAATATCTTGGCACCTGTCCCCTAAGGCATTCTCCTTCTCCCAAGAGCTTTTCAGCTCACATCTTTAGCGTTTGTTAGATCCATATGGATGTGAGTGCCAAAGAGCAGTCAGTGAACAGAAACTCAACAAGGAATGATTCCACACAGAGCTGTTGCAACCGTGAGGCTTGGCTTGATTTTGTTTATGTAAGAAAAATTTACTGACTACCTACCAGGTTATTTTTCTTAATTAGGGTAATGTATTCGTGGTGTTTTTGCACCATTATTCTCTAAATCTTTTATATGTCTGAAACATTTCATAACAAGAAAACGTTTTCCCGTCAAAATGGTTTATCCATGTTCAACGAAAGCTGGGGAAGAGTCAACCACTGGGTTCTTCTCATTTCATTAGGAGATGCCCTTTACAAGCTGGTGGTCAGGTGCTCAGGAAATACTCAACAGGTTAATAGGGGGAGACCTTCCACCTGAAGAGTTGACGATTCTCAACGTACCACCTTTTTAACGAATAATCGCTACTGTCAATGTCAAAGATTCATTTTTCTTTCCAGCTCAAAACTTTTAGTTCAGGGTCTTGAAACATTCCTATTTTCACAGGGAGTGAGGAAAGGACTTCCTTTTACTAAGCACCTACTACATGTAATTGGACTCATAATTGTGCCTGTTCTTCATCAAGGGCGTTGTCCCTCATCAAATTCAATATTCATAGCTAATAGCATCATTAAAATAGGGAATCTATGTATGTAGGCAGAGTGATACTAACCCATCTTTTAATTTTATATATGCCATGGAACCAACATGAATAGCTAGTTTAGGTATATATATTGAAGAGCGAAATACAACATTTTCATTTCAAAGTCTCTAACTCCATAGGAGTTAGCCTTTGAGAACCCATTGAAAGTACCCCATGTAAATAAGGCGGGGCTACTATCACCAAAGAGCTTGGTTAATCTCCATTATCATCAGCCGTTAGACAAAACCAATGCTCATCTATAGCCCATGGCCAAAACCAGAACATGGCAAACGGACCATTCAGCTCATTTCCCCATGCCCCCCCCATCAGACAGCTGCCTGCTTGAATTAGTAGGCCTGAATAACCCTCTGTCCTTTCTACCTTCTCTTTTTTCTCGGATTAGGAATGGAAAAAATGTACAAAGGTTAAACTAGTCATGGATAAAGTACGTCACACACACTTGTAATGATGCCACCCAAACTGACAGAGTTGGTTCATGAAGAAGAGTCTTTATCTTATTTACCATAGTTAGGTGTAATTAAAAATGCTGGGATAGAGGCTATTAAGCATTACTGGACAAAGCCACTCAGTTTTTGGATGAATCATGAACAGTAACCATTCCCAATTTTCCCTTCTGCATCCTCTTTTACAGAGGGAACACTCAGAGTGAACTGGAAAGGAATTTAAAGATGATCTAAAAGAATTAAAGATAATCTAAAAAGGAACCAACCAGGAGAGGTCAACTGATTTGCCCCACACCTCCATTCAGTACAGGGGGAAAATACATAAGGTTACCAATGTAAAAGTTTTGCAAACTCGAAGTATCTCAGATGTCTGTGCAAGTAATCTCACCAGAGGCAGGATGCCTAGGTGTCCTGATTCTTAACCCTGCCTATATGCTACCCAGCCTCTTTGTGTGACAGATAAGCAAAAGTGTGGTCCCAAGTGCTTAAACAGTGTGGACAAGTTCAGAAACTATATTGGAACCCAAGTCCCTTTAAAAACTCCCTTTCCAAGTGCAGCTCTAAAGCAATGACCTGGCTACCTTGGGTCCCAGATATTAAGATGTTTAGGACCCACGGAAAATGGTAATAACCACATTCTCTGGTGGTTCCACAGAACACATTCCCAGCCAGTCAATATTATACTCTGTACTTATTCAGTTTACTCGAACAACTAAAGATGTCCCAGTAAAAAATCCAAATTAATATTTTAGCTGTCATGTATATAGGTAAAAGGAACACAAATGTTGTAACAGGCAATGGCAATATGCTGATTGTAAAAAAGTTGGGGGTTTCTGGGGAGGAGCCAAGATGGCAGAACAGCATGGGAGTTTTTGTGTGTCTCACATCATGAAATACAGCCAGACCAACACTAAACCATCCTACACACCTAGAAAACTGGTTGGAGGATTAACACGACAATCTGCACAACCTGAACCACAGAATTCAGCAGGTACCATGGTGTGGAGAGGTGAACTTGGGGAGAGAGAAGCCAGCGGCAGGCAGGGAGCCGCTTTTGCACGTGGAGAGAGGACGGAGACTGGGGTTGGGGGGAGGGAAGACTACGGGAAAAGCACCCCTCCCCAAAAGCAGCTGGAGAGAAAGTGGAAAATTGGAAATAGCCACAGGGACTAAACTAAAAAGGGAAAAAGGAGAAAGGAGAGGGTTTAAATTCCGTTAAGACTAGGGGCGCCTGGGTGGCTCAGTCGGTTGGGCGTCTGACTTCGGCTCAGGTCATGATCTGACAGTTTGTGGGTTTGAGCCCCGCGTCAGGCTCTGTGCTGACAGCTCAGAGCCTGGAGCCTGCTTTGGATTCTGTGTCTCCCTCTCTCTGCCCCTCCCCCACTCATGCTATGCTCTGTCTCTCTGTCTCTCAAGAATGAATAAACATTAAAAAAAATTAAAAAAA